TGAATCATGCAGATCTGGAATCAAATCTAGGTGGTGGGTCAACATTCCTCCCCAGGGAAAATTTTGATTTCTAGATGGCGGGAAATTAGCTTTCCCGACTTTTGAGGTGTCTTTTAATTACTTTTTTGTCCTTCAAAATTCAAGGTTTTCCCATCTTGAAAACGGTCTGGTAATTTTTCCCATTGTTATTACAGTAAATAGGGCTTATGTGTGTATACATACATAACAATTTAAAAAAAATGAGTAGTTGCATACGAATTTTCCATGAATCGATGAATCTCAAAAAGAAAGGGGGGTCCGGGGGTTCTTCCCCAGGAAAATTTTGATTCCTAGAAGGCGGGAAATGAGCTTTCCCGATTTCTGAGGTGTCTTTTAAATTAAAGTCATTAAAAAATACTTCAGAAGTCGGGAAATCTCATTGTTCACCATTTAGAAATCAACATTTTCCCAGGAAGAACTCGAACATCCCTTTCCCTGGGTTCATTGATTCATTATAATAATTTTCAACACCTTGAATTTTGAAGAACTTAAAAGTAATTAAGTTCTTCAAAATTCAAGGTTTTCCACTCTTGAAAACTTCCAGATAATTTTTTCCCATTGTTATTACAGTAAATAGGCCTTACGTGTGTATACATACATAAAAAAAAGATTGAGTAAGTTGCATACGTAGTTTTTCCATGAATCGATAAATCCCAAAAAGAAAGGTGGGGGGTGGGGAGGTCCTGTGGTTCTTCCCCGGGAAAATTTTGATTCCTAGATGGCGGGAAATGAGCTTTCCCCGACTTTTGTGGTGTCTTTTAATGACTTTTAAATTCTTCAAATTTCAAGGTTCCCCCCCCCACCCCTTGAAAATGATTCAATTAATCAATGATGAATTCCAAAGATAAAGGGTCCGGGTTCCCCGGAAAAATTTCGATTTCTAGATGGCAGGAGATGAGCTTACCTGACTTCTGAAATGTCTTTTAATGACTTTTAAAGTTCTTCAAAATTCAAGGTTTTCCCCTCTTTAAACAGGTCAGGTAAATTTTTCTCATTTTTTATTTTATGTGTGTATACATACATAAACAAATGAGTAGTTGCATGCGTAATTTTTTTTCCATGAATCAAAAAATCCCAAAAAGAAAGGGTGGTCCGGGGGTTCTCCCCCGGGAAAATTTTAATTCCTAGATGGCGGGAATTGAGGTTTCCCCGACATTTGAAGTGTGTTTTAATGAATTTTATGTTCTTCAAAATTCTAATTTTCTAATAGCAAAAAAAAAAAATCAGCTCACGGGTCCTGAAAAGGTAGGTTTAGAATCCGTTTCTTTTCCCCCCTTTTTTTTTGTTGCACAAGGGAGGGGTCAGGACCCATGATCCCCTCCTCCCAGATCCGCCAATGTGAATTGCGAGAAAATGTAACTCGGTCGGGTACTGGATAAACATTCTCTTTCCCATCCTTCTCCTTCTTCCCTCCTTTTTTTGCATTTCCGATCATACAAAGTTCTCCAGACATTATATATTTTTCGCCAAAAAGTGGGGGGGACCCGGGCCCCCGGCCCCCCCGGTTCCGCCCCCATGCAAATGTGCGGTCAACATTGTGTATGTACCGTCAGTGCGTGTTAGTTTGTTCGGGTCTCCGTAAGGCCTAAGACTCCAAGTCAAATTGCTATTGTGATATAACTCGAATAAAATTCGACTTTGCTTTAGTCAAATTTAAGTATAGGCCTAGGTTAGTTCTCCAAACAAGAGCTCGAACCGACAACCTCCATAATTATTTCTTATCGTCAACCCACTGATCCGTGCGCGGTCAAGGGCCAATCTCTTTTGTCGTAGAGGTCGCAGTCCCTCTACCTTCAGCACGATAGTGGAGCGTAGAGTTTTCACCACGCGACATTTCCAAAAACGTACTATTTTTGGGGGGTAGTACTTTCTATTGCCTGCTTCTTAACCAATCAGATGCCCAGAATCTATGTATGAGGTATATAATAAAGGATAGTTTGCAGCGAGAAGCTGAATTGTAATGATTTGTACAAAAAAAAAATTGTATAAAATGAAAATTGAATGAGAATAATATTTACAAATTTAATTACAATGGTCAGAAATTACAATTTAATTATAAAAATCATTATTACAAATTACAACATCAACATTATGCATACATGCAAACATTGGGACTAAATACGATAAAATATAAGTAAATAAAAAACACGATAAAGTGTTAATTTCATTAATTAATATGTTAGACGGCATTAAGAATAGAATCAAGGTGAGAATGACAGTTATTATTGGTCAGTAAGGCATGTATGGACAAAAACAAAAATTTAAAAGCAATTGTGAGGCATAACAACCAACTACCAAATTTATAGATGGCACTACTGTATATGTTTTTTCGTTTTAATAGCAGTTGCCATGATTTCAATTGACATTTCATGGTGTGCAGGAAACTCATAAATTTTGATTAATTACATATATTACCATGCTAACTGGACAGGAATTTTAAAATTCTATAGGTGTTATTGTAACTGATACAGTGTTGTCGGTAACTACCGGTGAACCAATCCTGGAAAATCCTGTTACGTTGTCTCTTGCTGTGACAACAGGTAATGCAGGTGCAGCTGTCAGTGGGTCGGATCTCTGGTTATTAACTGTATTTACAAATGATGCAGCAGATGGCCAAGGAGTAATTTTATTTGAAAAAGAACTTCCTGGTACTACAGATGCCGGTTGGACCGATGTCGACTTCGACCCAGCAGGGAATACTTTTATGTTGAATGGTATCTCTGTAACCTTTGACCTAACAAACATAATTTGCTTCACTGTAAGTAAAATCATACATACTTAATAAATATATATGTTCCAGTCAGCTTAAACATAAATGAATACCCACAGTATTAATTGTAACCTACAAAAAATATAAACCTTTACACTATTTAAAAATAACATATAATTATATATCCTATTGAAGGTTGTCAAATGTGATACATTAGAGTTACTACAATATACTGTACTAATTTTCTTACAATTCCATTTTTCTGCTCTTTTGTTCTTTTATATGTAGAAACCCTTTTTATGTCCTCCTTTCTACTGCTTTTCCTTGTGTTATGCGTATTTTAAATGACTATGCATTTAGTAAATAGAGACCCAAAATTGCTGTTTTATTTAATTTATTTTGTCTTTGGAATCAAGGTGTAGATGGGATGATAAAAAAATAGTGTTAAATCAACTATCTAGTGATTCTCCAACCCCCTAAAAGCCAACATTAAAAAGTAGATAAATACTGTATACACAAATGAATCAAATGTACAGAAAGTATATACATGAGTTAAAAATTACATTCCATCGAGAGACAATTACATGCCTTATGTGTCAACATTCTGCAAGCTGCTTAATTGAAAAATGAAGAACAAGCGAATCTTATACCAATAACTTTTATTGACATCATCAAAACAATCATGATACAGTCAAATAGACAAAATACAGTAACAGAAAATGTATAAGCGTATGTCGAACATACGACATAGCTTCCTCAAATCAACTAGCTTACAAATTATTATATGCCAGTATATTTTGCCATATTATAAGGTAGTTAGTTGAACATCGTGGGAAAGCATTAAATATATGACAATGGGCAGTTAGGGTATGAAGTATTTCCTGTCTATCCAGAGTCTAGGCTTTCAAATTTTCTTTGACAAAAAAATTGTTGTATGCCCATATATAGTCATGATGTGCCTATATATGTTCATGATGTGGTGTCATAAGCGGGATTAGGCGTGTCACATGTTTTTTGTCAAATAAAATTTGATAGTTTTGACAGGAAACAGCCCAGGAAATTGTGAAAAAATTAGGTCGGAAACAATTTTCCGACCTTATTCTCCGAGGTCGGCAGTCTCAGCAATTATGTACTACCTAGGCCTATAGTATAAACTACAATTTTTCCGAACGCTTGACCTTCCATGGTCATCTGCAGATCGTGATTTTGTCAATTATCTCTATTAAATCAATATATTGTTGGTGAGAGAATGGTTGTACATGTTTTGTTTTAATAATAATGTATAATACCTATAATAGCTGTGGCAATTCTGGCTCGGCAATATGGTTGGCAGTTGCCGAATGCCGACGTGAAATTCATGAACTGAATTTTCCAATCATTGCCAAAAAAAAATATTTCTGTACTAAATTAAATTGCCTGCTAGAAAAATAACCTTAAATGTAAAATAATGACATCATAGTACTGTATTTCAATAATATTCTCTTCTTTTTTTTTTTTTTTTGACTTCATAGATTCCATACATCTGCTTGAATTTGTCGAAAGCTGATAGTTCATCCACAGACTTTACTCTTGATAGTAATCCAGTGACTGCTCTCTCAGATTGTGTAGAAATTGACTGCCGAGGTAAGTTTAAAAATAAAAGGATTAAATATTCCTTTTTTATCCAATTCCAAATAATTTGAAATTGGATGATTTGGCTGGGCCTTAAGGGACATGTGGCTGCACATTGCAGCGTTAGTACCAACATATAATGGATACATAGTCACTTTTCCCGCCTAATTATGGGGAGGCCTGATATTGTGTATTATTAAAATTTTTATTTTTATTCTGTATATTTCTTTTTTATTTGTTTCTTTGAAAAGGTACCTGTTTGAATAATGCATGTTTAAATTGTATATAATAATGCTCAGAACTAAAAAGAACAAATTTCTTGATATTTCACGAAATAAATTTATCAATTCCATTAAAAAAGAAAATGGGAAATTATTTTGGTGCAATCTTAAAGAAACAACTTTCTGTTGACTAAGTGAAACAAGCTATCAAGTTCCAAAAACCTGGTAAAGCTCCAGAAATTGACGGTTTACCTATTGAAGTATTTACCCATTCACCTACATTTGTCATTGACTTAATCACAAAAAACTCTGCTTTAAATTCTGGCATTTTTCCTAAACAATTAGCAACAAGTCTTTTCGTTCCAATCTTCAAAAAGGGTGACAAAAATAATATAAATAATAATAGAGGTATAGCTTTGATTCCTGCATTAAGTAAAATTTTCCTCTACATTATAAATTCCAGACTTAATATTTGGGCTGAAGACGTTAATTTATTTCACCAAGAACAAGCTGGATTTAGAAAGGGCTTTTGAGCCACAGATAATATTTATATTTTAACCATCACGAACAAATATTTTAGTTGGGTCATTTCTGGCAATTCCGTGACCGTGGAGAGGCTAACTTAGTTTTTCTGTGGATTTGTCTTCCTTGAGGGTATAATAACATAAATAGCTTGGGTGTTCCTCGCGAAAATGTGGGCATAACCTGTGAGAGCCCTAAATACAAAATGGCCAGCCTTCCGCCATTTTGAAATTTATTATTTCAGTGTTTTGGCCTACATGGCTTCTTTAGTGCATGGATTCAGGGGTCCAGGATTTCATTTTTGATGTTGGAATGAAGATTTGACCTGGTTTTGACCTTCAAATCCAAGATGGCCGCAAATGTTGTCAAAAACTTTTTTTGTAGATTCGTCATAGTGCCTTATAAAAGGATTGCATGAAAGCTCTGATCATGCTGAATTGACTGATGGACAGTAAAACTACAATTAATTATACAGAAGTCATCTCAGAGGTCAAAGGTCAGCAGTTGGGGTTAATAAAAAATGAATCTTTTAGTTCGCTTATAAAATTCCAGTGTATTGTACTGTTAATATCCAGAAATTCATATTTGATTTCCAAATTATTTAGGTTTCACTTTCAAATCTAAAAATGGTGCTGATGTCACTTTGGAGTTCAGATGTCAATGTTTGAGGTTAAAGGTCAATTTTATTTCCATTTTATAAAATTGCAGTGTTCTGTGCTGTTAACATACAATAATTCATACTTCATGTCCTGTACATTTAGGTTTGACCTTCAAATAAAATGCTACTGTGGTGATCGCAAGTGGCGAAAGGTCAGCATTTGTAGGTAATAGAAAATGAAGCTTTTAGCTAGTTACTGTACATTGACTATAAAATTCCAGTTAGTTCCAGTGTACTGTATAGTAGATATCCAGAAATTCATATTGATGTCCGATTAGTTTAGATTTAACATTCAAATCCATACTGCTGATTTTCATCTCACAAATGTCAAATGTTCAAATTTTATGCAAGTAAAAACTACACTATAGAGTGCATCTCAGAAGGTAACAGGTTACCAACCTTGGCTCTCAATGGTCAAAAAGTCTCATTTTACAATGTGTGACTTTGACTTTGTCCTTTAACACCAGACTTTACCCTCAGTCTCACGTACAGTAAAATGCTCCCTCGCTTCAGAGAGCATCACATACTGAGTAGATCACCTAGAAGTTGATACGTCCTAACTTGGATCGGAACATAAGCGTTGGATACACGTCTGTCTAGTACAACTTCTTCAGTGTATCTCTATTATCAATTGGCAGACTGAGAGCAGCATTGTATCTGACTCTGAATCCATAATCTCTGCTTGCCACACCAGTGCTCAGGTTCTCACCCTTACAGTCAACGATGTGTACCCATCAAATTAGTGTTTTTAACCAATTTTAATCCCTCAAGCTTCTACAGTTTTACCTTGTTTTCAGTATAAACCACACTTCATTTGAATGTCTTTGGGCTTGGATACTGTAGAAAATGTCATACTCTATCAGTCGTTGATATGGCTAAAATGAGGGATGGCTCAGAGTACCACTGGAGTGACTACTTGAAAAGAATAAATATGCACCATCATAAACTCATGCCACGCTCTTGCATGCCAGGCCCATCAAACTTATCATGACAGGTATTTCCTTTTCTACAGTAACTATCACGGATGATGTGCGTGATCAATGGGCAGCAAGATATCTACACATAACAATATACACACCAAATATTTTTCCCAAATCCAAAGACATGGTCAGTGCTCACAGAAGATACCACAAATACCATCATACCTTTCTTTGTTAGCACTGGCAATAACGACACATTTTGGTATTTTGGGTACAGAAAAAATCGAAGAAGGTGATTGACAACTCCTGAGGTGAGGAAACTGCTAAATCGAGTGCATGAAAGTTAAAGCTGATGAAATCTTTTGTCCTCTTCAGTTGATGTTCTTTTAATTAAAGAAATTATGGTTTGTATATCTTGAACTCAGTGTGTTTTTGTCTACAGAAGTCGATTAAACCCATTATTATTTTACACAAGAAGAAGGAGCTGTGACAAATTGAAGACCTGTTGAAACTGGGTCCAGCTGAAGACCAGTTGAATTGTTAAAAAACACAACACCCAATGTGGTTCTAGTTCCAACTGGTCCAACTGGAATTTTTACCTACTGTAGGTTACATTTCAGCCCCTGTACAGCTCTGAAGAAAAAACCAAATATACTGTAGCACATGAATTAATTTGGTCAAACCTATATGGGTTCCAAATGAAACCATAATGCAAACCTAAGGGGCCAAATATATCCTTTAAAGGGCCCATAAGGTTATTTAGGCCAAATTTTTCGGACCCTTATGGATTTAGGGTGCAAAGCAGCTCTTTCTCGTATGGGACAATTTGTAGGGTACCCTTACGTTTCAACCCCTATTCAACCCTTAAAATACCCAAATATAGTTTACAATGGGCCCTGAATTAATTTGGGCATACCTATATGGGTTCCAATCGAAACTATAATGCAAACATTAAGGGACACAAATATATCCTTAAAAATGAAAGGTCCTACATTTCCATTTGGGCCAACTTCACAGGGAGCTCTTTCCAGTGTAGACCAAACTGCAGGGGGCCCGCATTTTGGCCCATAACTTTACTATATGGGGCCCATGTTTGTTTGCTATGTGGGTAAAATCTATACTGAGTTCAGATATCACTTTCTGGTAGGCCAGAGCTTCCAAGGGGCGTAAACTGAGAAGGGTACAGCCGGCCTTCCACGTGATGAAGACACATTGCACCATTTGAACAAGGACAAACTACATCACATATTGCTAGTGCCATTTTAAGTTGCTAGACTAGCATCCGTCCTCCATTTGTCGTGGTTAAGAAATTTTGAATTGTTCACCAGTACTCTGTCACCCTTGCTGCACCACCTCACTAGTGACTATTTTGAGAACCAGCGATGAGTGTACAGTAGTGTACTGTAGAAGTGATACAAGAGACTCGGATGAGGAGTAGCAGCCTATTGTCTAAGAAATAACTTACTTTGTTTAGTTGATAATTCAGGAAATTATTATTAGAATTAGATTATATTACAATTGTAACCTTTTAACTTCTGAGATGAACTTGAACAATTGACTGCGTGAGCTAAAATTAGCAGCATTCTTTGGTTTTAAGGTCAAACTTTAAAATCAATTGGACCTCAAATAAGAATTCCTGGATATTAACATTACACTGCTACAAATGTTATAACCAATGTAACTAGCTAAAAACTTCTATTCTATTAACCAGAAATGCTGACCTTTGACACCTGAGATGACCTCAACAGAAATTTAGATTTGAAGGTCAATCAATGGGTCATCAAATGTGAATTCCAGAATATTAATAGTACAGTACACAGGAATTTTATAACTAATGGAACTAAAAAAGCTTCTTTTTTTATTAATTGATAATGACCTTTGACACATGTGGTGACCTCAGCAGCATTTTTAGATTTGAAGGTCAAATCCAAATCAGTCAGACATTAAATATGAATTCCTAGACATAAACAGTACAGTAAAATGGAATATTATAAAGAAACGAAACAAAATGTTGACCTTTGATCTCTAAGATGAACTTTGTATAATTAATTGTAGTTTTATTATCTGTCAGCAGGATCTGAGCTTATATTAAGACTTTTATAAAGGCACTATGATGATTTTACCAAAAAATGAAGATTTTGAAGCGAAATTGGAGGCCATCTTGGATTTTAAGGTCAAAACTAGGTCAAATAATCGATCCGACATATAAATTGAAATCTTGGATTTTTGAAACCCCTAAATTCATGCACTAAAGCAGCAATGTAGGGCAAAACACGGAAATAATAATTTTCAAAATGTCGGAAAGCGGCAATTTTGGATATAGAGCTCTCACGGGTTATGCCCACACTTTTGCGAGGGACACCGAAGCTATTTTTGTTATTATACCCCTTAAGAAAGACAAATCGACTGAAAAGCTAATTTAGCCTCTCCACAATCACGAAATTGCTAGAAATGAGGCAAATAATAAAGAGAAGCGGTCCCAATATATGCACCCCCGTGGAACTCCACATGGGACATGCACTTTGCTAGAGCTGTCTCTTATACACATCTAGATGTGTATAAGAGACAGAACGAATGCATTGCAGTTAGCGCTCTAGTATTCTTATATTTCTATGAGGCGAACACACATAGTTCATGAAGATTTTTTGTATAACCAAAGATAATAAATAGAAGATAGAGCAGCTTCCCAATATAGTGGAACATCCATTCCAAAGGCATTGTTAGTACACGGAGAGCAATTTTACCCCGTCCGTTGATTTTTTTTTGTATGCTTATCAAGACATACCCTGTTTTATTTTACATATGTTTGTGTCGAGCATTAATATTGTTGATATGAAGGTTGTTTAATGCTCAAAACAATGTTTAATAATTATTTTTATAAGGTTGCAAGAAACAGTTAATGACAATTTATGTCAACCTATATTTATATGGGCCAGAGGCCATTGTGTAAAAAGAACAAATAAATGTCCTTGGTCCCTGTGCCAAGGAATGAATAAAAATATTTGGAACATCGAATGCATTGCAGTTAGCGCTCTAGTATTCTTATATTTCTATGAGGCGAACACACATAGTTCATGAAGATTTTTTGTATAACCAAAGATAATAAATAGAAGATAGAGCAGCTTCCCAATATAGTGGAACATCCATTCCAAAGGCATTGTTAGTACACGGAGAGCAATTTTACCCCGTCCGTTGATTTTTTTTTGTATGCTTATCAAGACATACCCTGTTTTATTTTACATATGTTTGTGTCGAGCATTAATATTGTTGATATGAAGGTTGTTTAATGCTCAAAACAATGTTTAATAATTATTTTTATAAGGTTGCAAGAAACAGTTAATGACACCAATCTCATTTCCGTAATTTGAACATGTTTTTTTTTCTTTCTTTTTTATTGCAAAAACATTTCATCATATATATTTGTTTCTAACCAACACAGATATTTATATATTCCCTGCGTCTTTGACATTCAATCGTGACTTTCATGAAGATCTTAATGATCCATCATCGACAGCTTTCAAAAATCAGTCATCTGATATTACTGATTTTGTAAGTATAGTAAAACGTTTACAGCACAATTTTGATAGAATAGCAATACTCAGTTTAATCCTACTAAAGAAGAAACTAAATTATATTTTGTAACAGAGGTTAAAAATTCACTGATATTATCTAACTAATATGTATTAACTAACTAGTATAATGTGATACGCCCAAGATACCTAAACTAATTTTTTAAGACAATTACTGCCAGATAAGTAATTTAATTATGTTCATGGGATTCAGAAAAGCTTTGCCAATTCATATTCAATTCGATTTTTAGATAATAAATTTAAGATTCTTTTCAAATTTTTCTTTTGTGTATTTTGTAAGACTGCACCACTGACTGTGAGTGCCACCTACAAAGGTGAAGTGTCACAAATAAATAAATTCACAAATAAATAAATAAATAAATAAACTTGTCTGATAAAACCAAAAAACAAATTTTTTTCTGACAATACAGAACAAAATGGAATAGTGGATGTAGTTTTAAATAAGTTTGAGTGTTATGCAGATTGTAAAATGTAAGAGTAGCGGAGGGATCAATGCATTAGTTGTAGATTCACATCACATACTGATAAACAGAGCAACAATTGCCTATTATTGCACATACTATAGCCTTAATTGCATGGCAAAATATAACTATAAACTTTGTGTCGGAACTGTATTTACAAAATGCTCATATTCTTTTATGCTTATCTTCCAGTTCAGCAGCAGTCTGTCATTAAATGATGAGATAATAATACAAATACGTAGCTTCTCTCCTGGTAGTATAATTGCTTATGTCAATTTCAACGTGCTAAACACAAACATTTCTTACGATGACTTTTTGGAAATTCTAACCCAAGAAGTAATCAGAATCGCGGAAAACTCTGATGGATATTTGTTTCCTGATAGCATCGTGATAAGCAGCACAGGTACATACAATATCTATTGTGT